TCTCAAAAGTATTGCTTTTAGTGTCCTACCTGAGCACGAAAGATGTCTCCTCACGTACAGCGGTTAGGGAGGGATCTTTTGGGGTCCAGACCAGGGCTCTAAAGTCAAGCCACCCCAGGGTTAACATCCCTAGTCTTAAAATAAAAAGCACACCCTCTCTAGCTATTCTCTCTTGTCAAATAGATCAAGGAAACCGTGCCCTTTGTACTTTCTCTGGGAAAATATTAAATGTCAACAGGCTAAAGCTCCAACTCGACTGTTAATTTTGTAGGTTCTCTAAGCAACAATTCCAGGAACACGGTAACTTTGGGGCAAAGGTCAAAAATCTCAGAGAAAAAAAAGATGAGTCTTCTAATTCCTCAGTTGTGTTTCTCTTTCTTCGGAGGTCATGCAAGAAAGAGATCTAATAGCTAAAGTGCTGAGTTAGCATCCGTTCAACTAAGAATTATTACATTATTTAAAATTCTAGTATTAAAAAAAATCACTTTGCTTCAGTACTCTCAATTATTCAACAAGTAATTGAGTGCTTACAATAGATTAAGAACAACTCTAGGAGTGGAAACACAGAACCGTCCTCATGAAGCTTACATTCCCATGAGACAGTCTATAAACACAGTAAAATATAAGCATGTTGGATCGTAATAAATGTTATGGAGTAAAAGATTTTTTAATTTTCTTTCTCCTTCACTTCCATGGTCTTATTTTCCTTCTTTCTTAAAGTCTTGCCAGGTTAACCCCAACTGGATTTTCCCTCTCTTCAGGAACTTCAAATATCCTTAATAACCTTAAAATATCCAGATAGCTAGGCTTCATGTTACACATTTTGTAAAGGTCTGTTCAACAAAATAAGAGAGTGAAGAGAGGACAATGCCCTCTTGGGTATAAAGAATTCAAGAAACGCTCTGCAATCAAACCTATTTCACTGAGAAATTGTTCCTAAAAAGAAGCTATAACTCCATCCATAATCAGTTTTTTTTTTTTTTTTTTTTGGTCAAAGAAAGGAAAGGACTGATGTAGAGTGACTACCAGAACAGGTTAGAAAGGTACACATATAAACATTTATTGGTTAGCTATTGGGTTTTAGTTTTTAGTTTATACTGTTCTGTACTGCTTCAGCATTTATCTCAGACAAAAGTATTATTCAAAATGAAATATGAGTTGAGGTTTTTACTGGATGGGGAAAGGGGTTATTAGGACAAAATAAAAGGAGCCTTTCAAAATTCATCCCCCAAAATCAAAAAACTACCTCATTAGAAGTATACACACACCCCTTAATACGGATAAAAAAAGTCCTAACTACCAGCCCTAACCCCCCTTCCCACCTCCCATCCAACATACTTCAATAAGACGGAGATGTCTAAGCAACCTGCCAACAAATCTTTAAAATTTTCCCTGTAGTCCTACTCTCCTTTCTTTGGGGGGGGTGGGGGGGGTGATTTAATACTAAACAACACAATTTTTTTTTTCGTTTTTATAAGTCAGTTTATTAAGGACAGGCTTACAAATTCAACAAAAACACATAATAATATTTAAAATGTTAAATGGGAAGAAGTGTTTTTTTTAAATGCTCCCTTCTTCCAACCACATATGTATCCATGCTACCAGTTGCCTTCGAGTTGATTCTCACTCAGGGCAGCCCCATGTGTTCCAGAAGAGAACTGTACTTCAAAGGGTTTTCAAGGCTGTGACCTTTTGGAAGCAGATTGCCAGGTCTTTCTTCCAAGATGCCTCTGGGTGGGTTCGAACCATTCTTTCAGTTGGTAGTTGAGCACTTAACCATTTGCACTACTCAGGGACTCCATATATATACTACAGAGCTCCAAATAAGCACTTTGTTAAAAGTATTGCCTCAGCCTGCTTACAGCCTTCTTATATCTGTAAAATACGAACTGTATCAAACTGCTATAACATGGAATAGCATTAGTCATGGAGTACCATGTCTAAAAGTCAACTGAAGCAGATGTCAAAATTGATCCCCTCATCACCTAAACTATTTCAGCTATAGCAACTTGAAATCCTTTGCTATGACAAATATGTGTTCTTAAAAATATGCTTCAAAAACAGCCAGTAAAAATGCTACAAAATATCTTACTAAATGCCTGACTTCAAATAAAAAGGCCTATGAAGCAACTTATTTGCAGAGTTGGATTCTTTTTGAGCAAGCCTTTTCTCTAAAGAGAAGAACTAAGAACTTTCATATTTATTCTTTTAGGTTAAAATATTTCATTTGCGTTTTTCTACTTATTCTAACTGGGGCACATGAATTTTCACCATCCCTTCCTAATTTAGAATGAGTTTGTATTTCTTGTATATACAACACCAAAACAAAAAAACCCGCTGTCGTTGAGTCGATCCCAACTCATAGCGACCCTATAGGACAGAGAAGAACTGCCCCATAGGGTTTCTATGGAGCACCTAGTGGATTAGAACTGCTTTTGGTTAGCAGCGGCAGCTCTTAACCACCTCGCCACCACGGTTTCCATAGACAACACAGAATGGTAAAAGTGTGAACCCTGGTGGGGATGATGCAGCCAGCTTGTGATTTAAAATTTAAGCAAACAAAAAGACAAAAGAGGATAAGAAAGAAAAACAAGGCTAATTTGAAAAATAGCTAATCTAAGGGTTGATCTAACAAGGTCAAGCAGCATCAGAAATAATTACTCTGAGTCGAAGAACTAGAAGAAATGTAAGAGATAACAACAACAAATATGTAAGTTTTACATACCGGGCATGATTCTTCATACTTTATTTGTATTACTTGATTTAATCTTCCCCAAAATCCTATGAAGTAGACTTTTAGTTTACAGATCATGAAACTGAGGTGCAGAATGGTTAAGCAAGTTGCCTAAGGCACAGAGCCAAGGAAGCTCTGAGGTCCAGCACTTGAGCGCAGGCAGGTAGGCTCCAGAGCCAGCTCTCCTATTCTGCCTCCCAATCCTCCAGTCAAACCCTCTCAATCATAGATACTGAGATTCAGAGAGGGGAAATTGCTGGTTAAATTAAAAAAAAACAAAACCCAGACTCTAGCCCAAATCACTTTTCAAAACAAAACAAAAAAACCACAACAACTCTGTTACAAGCAGAATGGAAAAAGATCGATGACTCTGAGCAAAACTTAGGGTGAGTGGAAAGGCACGGCACGTTCCTTTTCTATCACCAGTGCACACACCCACATAACACAGCAGGTCACAGCTACTGACAACAGGGTTAAACTCCACTCAGTGAAACATGTGAAGTCAAAACAGACTACTGAAAAAAAAAGACATGTTAAGCATGTTTTGAGGTTTATTAAAATAAAGTATTAGCAAACAATATGCAAAAACAAAGTGTTTTAAGAGTTATGGCTTTGAAAAGCACAATATGGTAAAACCTGATACATTTTTATAAGTATCAAAAAGATATCAGAATTGAAGCATGTTGCTAGAATTTCATTTTCTACAACATAAAACAGAAGCAGAACAAGTACAAATAAGAAGCAGACCTACAGTGCAGGCATTGGTTTGGTCTTTACCATCTGCATATAAAGTATCTTTTTAAGAGGACATGGGCAGGCACATACATTCAGTATTCATGATTACAAATCATATCCAATTTTAATGTAAGTCAATTTCAAAATGCAACTTAAACTAACCATGTTAAAAAGAAAATCACTTGCCCAACCATTATCTTCAAGAGTTACAGTTAACAGTCATTTAATCAGAGACTTTAAGAATAAATCAAAGCAATATCATCTCCAATGGTATTAGGAAGAAAAAATCTGACTCGGAAGGATCATTTTCCTTTGCAATGAACTTGGGATTCTTTGGCCTCACTGGAGCTTTGTTATAGCTAATATCAGCTAGTATTAAGAAGGCACCACCTATTAATGGGAAAAAAACCTTCCTCTACACAAACTTCGGTTGCTACAGATCTACCTAAACTGTTAGTAACTTGAACATTTTTTTGAACAGCATGTTCAAACAAATCCTTAAAAGAACAATGGTTTATAATTATTTGAACAAGAACCACAGAAATCTGTTTTTATTCTGTCATGAACGATAAAGGAATTCTCTTCCAGGACTGGATCTTTTCAACAAAACAATTCACCACTTGTTTTACAGCAATGTTACCAGCAAATATTATAACATGTGCTCTACTAAAATTTAAAAAAAAAAAATTGATGTGTGAAATCCCTTCTACTAGTTTTGGTAAACCATCCGATCTTCGGGTGTCACTTCAATGATGTTATATTTTAGGAGATAAACCTCTAGAATGAACAATCCAATATGATAAAGGCTTGCTAAATACTATCACTTCTTTTAATTAGGACATGCTACACTCAATCCAGTGAACTCCAAGGAACTGTCCAAAGTTTCTGTCCAGGAAGTAGAATTCTTTGTTCATGCAGAAGAAATGCCTTGAATATAACTTTCCATACATGCATCCTTTATGAGAAGAAAAACTCCCAATAATCCCCACCTGTATCAGGGAGGAAAATGCTGCTGCTCTGGGGGATACAGGCAAGAAACCTAAGATTATCCCCCAAAAAGCTGACTTAGTTAATATCTGAGCAGATCACCTATAAACCACCATACTTAGGGCAACTCCCTCCCATAAAAATCACCAAACACTTCTAAAATCACCAGGCTATCTACCGTTTTAAAAACAAAATCCTTGCTTACTTAGTTGATGAGTACAATGAGAACACACTTTCCTATCTGAGAAATTGAGGCTTTAGGAAGGCAAAGAAGGGCTCTGACCCTTGAAAGGGTTAATAAGTCCAGAATGTAAGTCATCACTGGAGGATGAATAATTTTCAAAAGATTCTTCCTTCCTAAGAAGTACAAAAGATATGTACTATATATTTTAAGTGGAAAAAAGTGATAATGATTGAAAGCCCTATTAAGAAAATGATTAGAAAAAGTATTAAGAAATTGCCCTAAACTGACAGATGTTCTCTATTGTAGAAGTATAGCACTTTAATAGGCACTATCAAATTTTTTAGAGTTCTCTGCTACTGCTACGGTTTAATTTTTTTTTTTTTTTGTATAAACTCTTTAAACAGAACACTATTACAGGATAACTGTTTCCTACAGTCACCCTAAGGTAATACATATGGTTTTACAGTAAAACCTGCAAAAGCCAGAACCTGTGTAAGGCGGAAACCTGTCAGAGAAGGAAAACTCAAATATTTTCCACTAATAGCAACAGAAAAGTGGTAAGACTGCACCCTGTCAAAGGTGGAAAACTTGCAAGACCCGGGAAAACAGGGCAGTCCCATTAACTCTGGGCTATCACAGGTTTCACTACAAATGTGAATCCCAGTTCTTACCTTGACAATAGACTCATAGTTGAATACTTATTATTTTACATCCTAAAATGAAGTGTTAACTCTCAAATGTTAGGAAAAGCAAAAAATAGCTACATCCTTTTTCTGTACTATTAAGTGTGGCTTGCAGAATGTCTATCCTAATTTACTCCAGATTTTACCTTGAAAACCTGGCCAATTCTATTTATCAGAGTTTTCTTATACAGCAACAATGAAATGGAAAAAATTATTTATATTCTGATGCATATATATGGCATTTTTGTTCGATGTCTTCCTTAAATTTTCTCTAAGAGAAAAAGTGTTCTTAGTTTCAGTAGATCAATAACATACCTACTACTTTACACTCCAGAACTTTGGCCAGGCAATATGAACTAGACCATAACACTATTATGTAGAGATTTTAGTCAATTCTACCTTTCAATCTTGCTTTTTTCTAATCAACAGCTTTTGTTTTAATTCATTACTGAAATACATTATGATTCTATCTCCCTTTTTGCATTTACCAAATGGGCTGCAATTTTACTATTCCCGAACTGTCTTTTCAGCTGACACATATTAATATATTGTACATACTATATAATGTGATTATTCTAGTGATGCTAATATTTTCATATATTTGACTATAAACCATGCTGGAGATTAAATAAAAACTTAAAACTAATTTTCTGAAATGGCTTCAGAGGTGCTTTCTTTTCATTGATCAGCATTTTACTTAGTTTCTTATCCTACTGACAATTTTTATTTCCCATCCATGGATATGTGGGCAGCCTTAGGGATTATAAGAGCAACTGGATTGAATACAGTTTTTATTGTTGACAGCTTTTTTGGGAAAATACAACAGGCTTATACTTCTCCATGAAACATTTAAGAGTTAATAGCTTCAATACTATCATTCATGGGACACAATTCCTTAGAGAAAACAAAGAAAAGGCCAATCACGTAAAATCTTGCTTACTCTAAAGACTGTGTCCTGAATATTGACTCCAAATAGAAACAATTTTTAATTAATTCAATTGAAAACAACAATAAAAGCAATTCAACAGTTTCCACCGGTTTGAGTCCACTGAAGTTGATTACATGTTTATCTGTCATTCAACTTGGGTGACTTTTTCTACAAACTTGTTCCAAAGAGTTTGCCATCAAGCCTGGTAAGTAAAACAATGAAAACAGCTCTTCTATCACTAAGCAAATAATCTTCTTCCATGTGACCAACACAACTCTGGAGACCGAGAATGCAATGTCATGTTAACAGTTATGTTTAAGGCTCAGTGACTGGTAGAAAGGATTCATTTTATCCAGCAAAGGACTGTGAACTGAAACACATATGGCACTTCATCTGAAAGAATTAACCATCCATTGGCTGCACTCTGTAAAAGCAATAAATAATCTCTCAGGAAACAAAAGGTATCCCATTCTCCTTTCCTCGAAAATATACTTTTCTTTTCATAAAAAGGCTAAGTATACAGTCAAACGAAACTAACATTTTTAAACAGAAGATTGACATGGCTCCATATACTTTCAAAAGGCACCAAAAAATAAAGCTTCTTCTGATAAGGAAATCGGTTTATCTTCTCAAAATAATGTCTTCATGCTCATGCCTTAACTAACTATCCATCTGACTGCTCCTTAGAAAAAGTGGTTAAGAGTCCTTTATCCAAAGCCTTTAAACATGACTGATTAAATGGATATTTCAGAGTTGTCATGTCTTTCCTCTCCAGATTGTGTTCTGGGAGACTAGTATCCACGTAGGTACTAAAAAATTGAGGAAGACAGAATGTGCACGGTAACTGAGAGAACAGTATGCATTCTTTGATACATGAATGTTTTAAAATCAGCTATGCCAACAACCACTGCTGACTGACTCAAGTATCAGACCAGTAGCCTCATCCTTGAGGCCCAACTAAACGGCCTCCAAGAGCCTCGCATGGCTACAGTGCATGAGTACCTCCAAGGGAGACTGATGACAGTAACTGCAATGAAATTAAGCACATATTTCTCAACATTAATAACATCCATAAAACTGTAAGGAATTAAAAAGGCACCTTAAGTTGGAGCTAGAGAATAACAGTCTTATAATCTAGATTGAAAATAAAACAAAAGCTAGAAAAAAGCTATCTTCCTACAACTGTAATCTATAAATTGCAGCGTTCGTTAATACAAAAGGGGTACCAAGGAAGTAAGGACAAGCATCTAAGTCCAAGTCACTTGAGTGTGTTTCACCAAAGGTTATGCTAAAAACTGTAACCCATAAAAGTGCAAAATAAAGATGAATGCATATCAAAATTAGAGCTCCTGCAACACTGGCCAAAAGCAGCAAACATAGCTGAACAAGGCCGTGCATGCACTGTCACTAGCTATAAAGTAGTACTTTTGACAGAATTTGAGTAAATGACATATACTAGAGATCAGTTGTTTGCAATAATTTTTTTAAAAAAAGGAAATGTTTTATGAAAGATATACTGAGAGAAGTCACATTACACTCACAAACATTCAGATGTATTAAATGTTAATTTTACGTCATCTAGAAAAGTATCATTTCGCTTTTTCTGAACACTACTTATTAGAGCAGTGCATAGTGTTCCTTCAAATAAAATATTTTTTAATAGTTTCCTTTAAGCCCCTACCATATGCTTTGCAAACAATGAATTATACTTTTTTTAAAGTTGGTGGGACAAAGAAACTAGTAAAAGTATAGCTTCTGGAGATCAAGAATAGGAGGGAAGACTTACTTTTCACTGTATACCTTTTTATACTATTATAATTTTTCATCATGTGATGTATTTATTACCTTTTCAAAAACAAGTTTAACAACAACAACAACAAAAAAAACACCTGATGAGACAATAAGGCAAAAGCATATTCCAGTTTAAAGATCAATGCCAGACTTCTGAACTGGGGCGTAATACTTACTCTGCATCTTTCGCAACACTTTTGAAAGTTAATCACATGAATATGAATACAAACAAGTGTAGATTAATCACAAAATACAAATGTATTGGTCACAATTATGGAGGAAAAAATATGTTGTAATATCTGTTTTCCATGTAAGCTCACAGTATCTGTACTGAAAGTTTCTCTAAAATTAAACAAGTCCACTAATAATACAATTGAAAAGAACACTTCTGCACTATGAAACAGAAGATATGGGGTTCAGAGGGGAGCCCATCTGTGTGAGGACTTTATCCAGCCACTGAAGAGGCCCATGAAGATGAATCTCAATCCAACATGGGGTGCTGGTAACATCCTGTCGGTGATATTCTGCTCCCCAGCCCTAGGAAAATGAACAAATATCATAGCAAATCTCTCTTCAAACTGTCAACCAGTCTAAATCAATTTTACCATAATAACAAAAAAAGGGTTTAACAGTAGAGATATACAGAATGTACTTAAAGGAAACAACTATCACAAAACCAATCTTAGCATTCACCTTGGAATTAAAAACACAATACCTGTGTCATTGAAAGATGTGTGATTTTTTTTTTTTTAATAGCATTACTTCCCTTAATAAAAACTACTGGGGCCAGATAAAACAAAAAAAAACAAACCTATTGCCGTCAAGTCGATTCCGACTCATAGCAACCCTACCGGACAGAGTAGAACTGCCACATAGGGTTTCCAACGAGCGGCTGGTGGATTCGAACTGCAGATCTTTTGGTTAGCAGCTGAACACAATCACCGCGCCACCAGGGCTCCATGTTTCAGAATTCTTTTTGTATAAAATCCATAAATAGCCTCGTGTAAGTTCAGGCCAAATTTTGTCACAAAAAAGTTTTTGATTTTTAGGTTTTTCATTTTTTATTTTTGGAATAGCAGATGAGGTATTACAGATTTCATCAGTGATGCATGTATAATTTAATGCGGCAATCACATATCAATTACCTGTTAGGATGGGAAATTGTTGGGATGAATTGAGCTGAAAAATAATTTAGCCTAAAAATTCGGACAAAGATTAAAATAGAATATTTTCATTTTTATTTGCCTGGATTTATCAAATTCTCTACTATTTATGGTAATCACAGCCCAGGAAAATTGGAGGTTAAAGAGAAATAGAGATTAAAATAAATAAGCAACAGTCATGCTTTTATATAAGGGAGAGAGATGCCTTCATGGCTACTGATAAACTGATGCATGCAACAGAACTATAGCAAAGGAGCAAGAAAACACTGGACTATAGGACTGAATGAAAAAAAAAAAAAAATACATAGCATCTGGCAGTTGCTCTTCTTTGGTTAAGTCCTTAAGGACCATGTGGGTATAGTATTAAAAAACAACAACAACAAAAAATTGTTGCCATCGAGTCAATTCCAACTTATAGCGACCTTATAGGACAGAGTAGAACTGTCCCATAGGGTTTCTAAGAAGCAGCTGGTAGATTCAAACTGCCAACCTTTTGGTCAGCAGCCAAGCTCTTAACCACTGTGCCACCAGGGCTCAGGTTGCTTAAACACATCACTAAAATTCTTCCCCAGTTTTGTTCATGAATTATCATCTTTGGAATGCCAATAAAACCAAGAAAGTAAATGATAAATTTGAAAACATCCTTGAACTTTGCGAACCCTTAATAACAGAGCTCAGATACAATTAAAATAATTTTAGTACTCAAAATAATTCTGTAAGTCACTCTAATGGAATCTAAAAACAACTGAAACTGTTGAGGCTAAGGAACTGAAAAAGCAATTCTAATATTAAATGCTTTCCAGCAATCTAGTCTTTAACTGAAATTCTTCAGCCCCACTCAATAACAAATCAATATCAATATTACACATTTTATAACACCTGAATTATAAAATGATATCTCAGAACTATCATGTGGTTACAGTTACAAATTCAAGAATTTCATTAAAAAGCTTTTAAATCAGGTCAAAAATAATTATCACCTTTCATTTAGCAAAGAATCTTTTTTTTTAATTATAACACACAAACATACTTATTTACATTGGCTCAAGTTAAACTGTAGGTCACAATTCACTCACCTTGACGAAACTCATTCGAATGGTGCACATTTTGGTGAGCTCATACACTGCCTCAAACCCATGGTTGACAGACTGAGCCAGAAGCTGAGCAAACTCCTGATTGTTAAAAATTTTGAGGCTGCAGCTGCTGGGAATCTTACAGACAGTAGTGGGATGAAAGCCATGATGAAAGTTGCAGTTCCTACTCTGTACAAATATGCTGCTGTCACTGAGGCACTCCGCATATACCTCCCCGCCAACATAGTACAGATGAACACCTTAAAAAGGCAGGCATAATAAGATTCAGCTTAACAAAGCATTAAAATGAAATCAAAGAGGCTGTATGAGGAGTAACCAAGAATACTCACTAATCCACAGAAAATCCCAATAGTTTTTAGATAGACGCTACCACTAGATGGCCTTCTGGGCCAACTATATAATCAAGAGGTTACTGTCTGCACAAATGTAAAATGGTCCTCAAATAACTAAGAGACACCTCAAGTCAGCAGCATATTAGGTAATCAGTTCCTAGAGGTTTTTTTTTTCCCCTTTTCAAGCAATCGCCTGTTATCCCTATGAAAGAAAGCAATGTCAAAAAAAAAATTAAAAGCACCTTATAATAAGTCGTTTCAAAGGAATGTTTGGTGCCATCAACTACCATAAACAAAAAGTTTTATACTCTTTTTACTAATGGAGAGGAGAACAGCATTTAAAAAATCCTAAGTAATGTATGTAGTTAAAGGTCACAGGAATAGTCTTTAAATGGCAGATTTATTTTACTTTCCTTAAAAACAAAATTTTTTTTTGGTATTTAAATACACATATTAGTATTTAAATATATATAATTTTTATATTTAAATATATATACATACATATATATAATGTGAATATCGTCTCAATATTAAAAACTCAAAATATATAAAGCTAAAGCTGAAGTCACCTAGTATTTTCCCAACATACGCCCCCACCTCCTCAAATTCTTTTTTTCTTCCTCAGAGCTAGTAATTGTTATCAATTTGGTGTGTATCCTTTTAAAATTTTTTAACATGCATTTAATTATATAGACATGTTTCTACGGAACATTTTCATATGGTTGTGTACGTGGGGGGGGAGGTTGTGTGCGTGCACATTTATACTCTTGTTAATCAGAAACATCCTCTTTTAACTTAACACCACCACATCTTGGAGATTTTACTATATCCCAACATACAGACCTACAAGTATATATATATATGTGTGTGTGTGTGTATGTATATATGTGTATATATATGTATGTATGAATACATATATTCTAAGTGTTATATATAAATCTGGAATGAGTATACCGTAACTTACTTAACTAACAATAGACATTTACAATGTTCCATGACTGTGTACCAACAGACATCGAGAACATTCCCAACTTTTCACTATTGCAGACGGTGCTACAAGGAACATCCTTGTACATACGTACCTTTGTATACATGTGAGTCACAGATTTGCAGCAGACTATGACATTAAAAACTGTTTTATTTCTGAGCAAATAAAAATTACTCATGGAAGAAAGGGTTCTAGAACTGGATACTTGAAAAAAAGGGAAAACTGATTCTAGAATTTCAGAATTCACCAAACAGCTCTCTCCCTTACTCTACTGTAGCAGAGAAAATCAATGCACAAAAGTAGGCATTTCATTAAAAAAAAAAAAAAAAAAATCACAGCAAGTTGGCAGTAAAGTAAAAAGAGAATGAAATCTTTCTTTTCAACTGATTTTTGCCCAGAATATTTTCCTGTATCTCTTCTACAAGAAATCTCATTACAATTACAGCTACTTACCTCTTGTTCCTAATCTGGACTAAGACTCTCAAATCAAAGAAGCAAAACGCGGCAAGTGATAAAAACAAAACTTCCTGAGACAGTCAAGACACTCAACCTGGGACTGCTTTCCTTCCTGACCACTTGATTTGTAAGACTTTACATTTCACTGCAACATGAAAAGTTCCTTGTCTGCTGTGGCAACTATCTTGCAGGATGAATTATAAATAACATTTTCTTACCTGAATTTAAAAGGGAAGAGGGGTGGCAGTAAAGCCACTGGAGACTTATAATCATTCAAACAAGATTTCCTACCTATAACTCTGCTCCTCCAACATTATAGAAATTCTCAGGAGCCATTCCAACCCAAAATACTCCACAAATACTATAATTTGAAAATTCTAACCATTCATGGGCATTTTTTCATTCCACAAATGTTGTAGTTGTTGTTGTGTGAAGTCGAGTCGATTCTGACTCATAGCAACCCTATAGATATTTGTTGTGTACTTACTATGAGCCGGGCAGTGTTCTAGCAGCTGAGAGTATAGCTGTAAACAAGGCAAATTCCTACTCTTACAAAAGCTTATATTCCAATCAGGGAGACACTCAAAAAATAAACAAAGAAGTAATATGATTTCAGATCCTATCCTAAGTACTATGAAGAAAAACAAAGCAGGATAAGGAAAAGGGGAGTAATTACTTGATTACTATCATTCTTCAACATCCACAACTTGAGGGCAGAAACCATGCCTTAAGAGTCTTTGGAGGCTTCCAGTCCCTTACAAGATGCATGGTACATAGCAAGCACAACAAATGACTGAATTCAAATGAATGTAAGGAAAGGACAAGATTACCTTTTCCAATATGTCGCCTAGTGTTTTCAATTGTCGAATTACGATTAACATTTGACAACAACCCCAAGCAGAATCTACTTTTGTTATTTGAAGGATCTGTGAATCCATCTACTAACACACTAGTAGAAGATGCATGAAAAGCTTCCCCAACTCGGTTGTTTAACTCATAGTAGACAATTGAACACCAATGTTTGGGTTCTTCATAGGCAACAGGCTGAACATCTGTGAACAAAACAAACAGAAAAAGCTTAATGAATGATTATCAGACAATCCAGACAAAAAAATGTTTTATTATTACACTTAATATTTCATTCAGTCTCACTGTCCTTCCTGGCTTTGGGTCTGTATTCAAAAACACGAACACCAGAAATAGCCTTGAATATCACAATTTAAAAATTACAGAAACACAAGGATAGGCAATATCACATTTTAAATTGTTTTTCTAGCAGAATCTAATCCAGAAGTTTGAGATGGCAAACCTCTGTTTTAGCAACCTGAAAGATTTAACTATACTAGTATCAATAAAATTATTCTAAACAAAAATTTGAAGTAAAAAACTAAGTGAGCATAACCTTTGGATAAAAAGTGGTATACGTTTAAGTGTTAAGTGTCAAAACTGCCTATGGAACAAGGTTCAAGCAAAATATAAAATACTAGTCAAACTCTTACTAGTGTAAAGGTCAACAATTTATAATGGACACAAAGGGTGAGAGTGGAACATAGAAGTTCTTTATCTGTGCTAGTATAAGGTCTTTCCCAGAGCTGAAATCAGTCAGAAGAGTCAGGGACTCAACTTCTTTCAAGGAAGACAAGGATTAAAAATGTCAGAGAAAAATTTAAAAATCGTCTCGTGGCTATGCAGGCAGTACAAAAGAGCTGGTTAACTTTTAAAACTCAATTCTGATCATTCAACTGCAAAGAATTCAGATGCGGAGGAAAAGAAGAAAATAAACTAATGTGGACCCACAGAGCAATAGATGTCCTAAGAGTTCAGATTTTAAAGAAGTTTATATAAAAGATGGGACAAGGTGGAGTCCAACAAAGACAAGTAGCAGGACGTTATTAAGAATAGTGTCGGGAAGGCTAGAGACAAGAATGAAAGTATGATAATAGCTGTAGATTTTTCACAGATGCTCTTTAACAGTAAGAGAGACTGACTGATTAAAGGCATCCAGATTGGAAAGGAAGAAATAAAACTGTTTTTATTCATAGACTACATGATCCTGTATATAGAAAACCCTAAGGAATTCACATATATATACACACACACAAAAATTACTGTACTAGAACTAATAAACGAGTTTAGCAAGATTGCAGGTTACAAGAACAACTTACGAAAATCAGTTGTATTTCTCTATATTAACAAAGAACAATCCAAAAAAGAAACTAAAAAAAAATTCCATCAAAACCACAATGAGATATCATCTCACCGCCATTAGAATAGCAATGATTAAAAAGAAAACAAGAAACTGGAAATATAAAATTGTGCAGCCATTGTAGAAAACAATTTAGCAGTTCCTCAAAAAGTTGAACACAGAACTATCATATGACACAGCAATCCCAATGCTAGGTATATACCCAAAAGTGAAGGCAGAAACCTGTACACCAGTGTTCACTGCAGCATTTTTCACAACAGCCAAAAGATGGAAACAACCAAAATGTGCATCAACAGTTAACTGGATAAACAAAATGTGGTGTATACATACAATGGAATGTTACACAGCTGTAAAGAGAAATGAAGTTCTGATGCGTGTTACAACATGGATGAATCTTGAAAACATTATGCTGAGCAAAATAAGTCAGTCATAAAAGAACAAATACTGCATGATCTCACTTACAAGAAATAAGCAAATATACAGAAACCAAAAACTATTGGGTGGGAAGGAGCGGGGAGGGGGGAATTTTTTGTTTGGGGAGTGTGATGGTTAAGATTGTGTGTCAACTTGGCTGGGCCATGATTTTCAGTGTTTTAATGTAATCACTCCCATGATTGAATATACTGTAAGTAGCCAATCAGATGAAAGGGAGTCTCCTTGGGGGAGTGGCCCACATCTGAATATAAGCAGACGTTCTGGCTTTTTGCTCCCTCTGGATCCCACGGCTGCTTCCTGTCGTCTCATTTCCCGTTCTTGGGACTTGAGCTGTCAGCTTATCTGCCGAACCTGGGATGTGTCGATCTGCACAGCCTGTGAGCGGGAGCCCTGCTCTCCGACCTGCTGATCTTGGGCTTGCCAGCTTTTGCAGTTGTGTGACTTGGGAGAGGCCTCTACCCTGATCCAGGGACTTGGGATGTTCTAGCCTCTATAACTGTGTGAGCTGTTTCCTTGATATAATCTCTCTATATATACATATACTTATACACATTACTGGTTCTGCTTCTCTAGAGAACCCAACCTAAGACAGGGAGCATGAAGTTTATGTTAATGGTGGTGGAATATTTTGGAAAAGGATAACAATAATGGTGGCACAATATAAAAATGTAATTTCATTGAACTGTAAACGTGAAGTTGTACTGGCAAATGTCTTGGTGTGCCTAGTTCACCACAGAAAAACAAACAAAATAAACCCAAAAAACAACAATTCCATTCACTTAGGAATAAACTTAACAAAAGAATTCTAAGACTTGTACACTGAAAACTGAGAAGATCTAAATAAATGGAGAGACATTCCATGTCCATATATTGGAAGATTCAACATTGTTAAGATGACAAATTTCCTCAAAATGATATAAAGATTCAACGTGATCTCTATCAAAATCTAAGCAGGGTTTTTGTTTTGTTTTTTGCAGAAACTGACAAGATGATGCTAAAATTATATAAAAATGCAAACGACAAAGACCAGTCAAACAATTTTGAAAAAAAAAAAGTTGGAAGACTAACACTTCTCATTTTCAAAACTTCCTATAAAACTTTAGTAATCAAGACTATGAAATAATGGTGTAAGAACAGACATACAGATTAATGGAATAAAACTGATAGTCCTAAAACACATTTATGGTCAACTATACTCTGACAAAGATGCCAAGGCAATTCAATAAAGAAATGATACTCTTTTCAACAAATGGTGCTGGAATCAACTGGATATACACATGCAAAAATATTAATTTAAATCCTTATCACATACCATATATAAAAACTAACTCAAAATGAATCATAAACCAAAATGTAACAGCTTAAGCTATAGAACTTCTAGCAAGTAACACAGGAGAAAACTTTCATGACCTTAGGATAGACAAAGATTTCTCAGATGTAACACCAAAAGTGTGATCCAAAAGAAAAAACAGATAAATTGGACTTCATCAAAATTTAAAACTTTTGTGCTTCAAAGGTAACAATAAAGAAAATGAAAACACAAGCCAAAGAATTAAATATAAGATTTACAAATCATGTATCTGATAAAGGTCTTGTATCCAGAATACAGAGGTCCCTGGGTGATGCAAGGAGCCCTGGTGGTGCAGTGGTTAAGAGCTCAGCTGCTAACCAAAAGGTCAGCATGTTCAAATTCACCATCTGCTCCCTGGAAACCCTATGAGGCAGTTCTACTCTGTCCTACAGGGTCCCTATGAGTTGGAATCAACTTGATGGTTTTTGGGTGGTGCAAGTAGTTGGTTGCACTTCACTACAAACCTAAAAAGGAGTCCCAGTGGCACAACGGTTAAGTGCTTGGCTGCTAACTAAAAGGTCGGCAGTTCAAACCAAGACACTGAACTGGTTCCAAATGGTTCAGTCATGGCCGATGGAAACAAGGGCAACACAGGCACAGCATAGCAACCAATCTCTTGGTTGTTCAGACCCGAGTAGGAAACAGGTAGCAGTGCCCTACTTAAAGATGGCGGCTGATCGTGCCGCTCTGAATGTGTGCTGCAGCACAGTTGGCCACTATCTCTGCCTGCTTCCTACTCAGGTCAAAATCCAATGTGCAAGAGATTTGGTTGCTATGCAATGCATACGCTGCCCTTGTTTCCATTGGCCATGACTGAACCATTTCGAACCAGTTAGAAGCCCTGGTTTGAATCCGCCAGCTGCTTCGAGGGAGAAAAGACGTGGCAATCTGCTCCCATAAAGATTATAGCCTAGGAAACCCTATGGGGTAGTTCTACTCTGTCCTCTAGTGTTGCTATGAGTCAGAAACGACTCGATGGCACAGAACAACAATGAACCTAAAGGTTGGAGGTTCAAACTCACCCAGCAGCACTATGGAAGAAAGGCCTGGTGATCTGCTTCTGTAGAAATTACAGCCAATAAAACCTCATGGAGCAGTTCTACCTCGTAACACATGGGGTGGTCATGAATGCAATCAACTTACTGGCAATGGGTTTGGTATGGGTTTATCCAGAATATGTAAAGAACTCTTACTAAGAAGACAGACAACCCAGTTTAAAAATAGGCAAATGTCACTGAATTGTACATGTAAAAATTGTTGAATTGGTGTATGTTCTGCTGTGTATATTCTCAACAATAAAAAAAAATTTTTTTTAAATACAAGATTTAAACAGACACTTCACCAAAGAAGATATGTGAATGGCTAATAAGCACATAAAAAAGATGCTCAACTTCGTTTTTCATTAGAGAAACGTAAGTTAAAACCACAACAGGATAGCAGTTTACACCCACTAGAATGGCTATTATCAAAAAGGCAGACAATAACTAGTGTTAGGAGGATGTGGAGAAACAGGAAACCTCATACACTGCTGGTGAGGATGTAAAATGGTGGAGCCACTGCGGAAAATAGTTGGCAGTTCTTCTTAAACATAAACTCGCCATACAACTCTGCAATTCTACTCCTAGGTATCTACTCTACACAAAGACTTGTACACGAGTGTTCATAATAGCCCAAAACTGGAAATTTCATATTCTCATCAACTGGTGAAAACATAAACAAAATGTGGTACATCTATACAATGGAATACTATTCAGCAACAAAAAGGAACAAACTACTGATACATGCTACAACCTGCATGAACCTTGAAAACATTATGTAAACAAAAGAAGCCATGTGCAAAATACTAGACAATATATGATTCTATTTATATGGAGTATTCAGAAAAGGAAAATCTATAGACAGACTGTGGTAATGATGTAGAACTTTATACATTTACTAAAAATCAATGAACTGTACACTTAAAACGGGAATTTTATGGTACATAAAGCCATTTTTTAAAAGTGGCCACGAAGTTTAAGAAAACAAAAACTACAAAATAAATATGGTGAGTACTTCCCTTACCTCTGCTGGATATACTGGGCATAATCTGAGGAATCATATTATTGCTTGTATCCATAGGCTGGGAATTATCTTGACCCATCTGATCATCGGGTGGCATATAGGCAGGAGGAGGAGTATCAGCTAACAGGAGAAAATGAGACAAGTTAAAGTCCCAAAAGAATAGTTAAAATTTTCATTTTGCTCAAAGTTATTACTCTAAAAGCATTAAGAAATCTATAAGATTACCAGCAGGACTCATTACTGAACATTACAGACACAAAAACGTAGGATGCTACCCTAGTACACGGGAAAAGAAGAAACACAGCACATCTAGTATCTACTGGAAGCCTACTACAAGCCAATATTTATTTACCTAGAACCCTAGTAATCCAGGGTACTAGGATCAGTGCTAAAAGTAGAACTCAAGGTTAAGAATTTTGCCTTTATTTGTTTAGAATCATATGCCTGGAGAAAATGCTGCTACTGCAAATCAATTTGAAGGACACAAATAATCCTTGTTTGGGTATATACATTTACGGAGATACTTTTAAAGAATCAAGATCATCACACACTGTATACTGTTATTTAAAACTGGAAATAAAACCATGCCCCTTCATGTTTGCCATCAATGCTAGCAGCCACTTGTCTAATTCTTTCACAACCTCCAAAAATGGCTGTTGTGTACTTATTACGATAATTCTCTTAGGAAACTAAATGTTAACCAGAAAATCTTGTGCATTCATACATTCACTGAAAATCTTTGCAAAAGCTACAACTATACTTCCTTGTCTCAGTAACTATAATATACTGAATATAATTTGTCTTTCATGCCAAGGTTTGTATAGGATGTATTTTGAGACAGGGTCATAATCTGCTCTGTCTAGGACAAACTATGGAAATCAGTTTTTGAACGAATTCCTAACAGAAAGTTAAACAGTTGTTATTTAATTCCCCTTAAAAAGAAAAAAGTAAAAACTACATCAAGTGATATTTTGCTGCAGTAGAGAAACCACAAAGAATATATTTACATATGACTGTGCCTGACAGATAGGAGGCATTCAAATATTTCTTGACAGAGTGCATAATGATGTGTCCACACATGACACATCACTAACAAAATTTAGAACCTTCATGTATCTATTCATTAACTTAATCTTCTATCCTCTAGAAAAATCCGTTTGTTATCTAATTAAAGATAACTGAGGTTCATTTTAAACTTCTGAAGTCTAAAATGACTTGAAAAGCAATGTAATAAAATTGAAAGACCACAGACTTTAGAGTCAGACAAACCTGGGTTTGAACCCCTACTTAGCTGTGAGACTTTAGGCAAGGTACTTTATACTCTCAGGGTTAATATCAATTTTTTTCTATCTGTAAAATTAGGAATAATTATCTATCTCACATGGTTGTTCTGAATATTAGATTTACTTTAACAATAGCTTTCATCACAGTATCAATTACACAACAGACACTCAATAAATGGCACTTAATATTATTGTTACTGTTGTTAGTTGCTGTTGAGTCAATTCCAACTCATGGCAACCCCAGGTGTGCAGAGGAGAACCGCACCATAGGGTTTTCAAGGCTATGACTTTCCGAAAGCAGATCGCCAGGCCTTTCTTCCAAGGTGCCTCCAGGTGGATTCAAACCACCAACCATTCGGCTAGTAGTGTGAGCTTAACTATTTGTGCCACTTAGTATTTAAAGTTATATATTTTAAAAACATAAAAATATTTAACTTTAAATCAAATATAGCTAGTACCATTTTTTAAACACATACACTAGTCAAATCGTACTTAGCAAAATAAAATCCAAACTCTTCTAGAAATCAAATAATTAACTAAAGAAAACAGAGTTACAAACAGCTAGTTCACCCAGAGGGCCTGCAATAAGAACAACTGCTAACTCTCAGGGATGAGTTTTTTATACCAATAAAATAAATTCTCACCTGGAAGCTGAAATGGACTTCCTGGTCCAGAACTTGCAGGGGAGTTAGGATATGTGCTGCTAGCAGGGGAAGGGGGATAAGGGCTGTTTGGTGATAAGGGAAAAGGAGTGTTGTTGGGCTGGTGGAAAGAATCTGGAAACGTGGCATTTTGTGGCATGTGCGGTTCATTGTGGCTCAGGTTCCTAAACTGAACCAGAAGGCTATGTTGTGGATTGAATTCATTATGACGAGGCACTAATACTGGAGGTAAGACTGAAAGACAAAAATTAAAACGTCAGCTATAAGGAATGACTAAAGCAAATATCCTATACACATTAACATGGTGGTGGAAGGGAGGAAGGTAAAAAGGATTCAGGTAAGACTGCTTATCTATTAAACAAAACAATTTACTTTTAAAAAGGACTGCTTTGTAGAACCTTGAATCTGTATCTACATAATAAATCAAAAACTCTCTGAGCTATTTACAATAGCAAAAAGGTAGAAATAACCCCAGAGTTCATCGACAGATGAATGAATAAACAAAACATGGTATATACATACAACGTAACATTATTCAGCCATAAAGATGAATGAAGTTCTGATATATGCTGACATGGTTGACTATCTTAAACACATTACGCTGAGTGAAATAAATGTGATACAAAAAAACAAATATTGCGTGCAATATCTAGAACAGGCAAATGCAGAGACAAAAGGTTAGTAGTAGTCACCAGGAGTCAAAGAAAGAGGGCAATGGGGAGTTATTGCTTAAACAGAACTGAGTTTCTGTTTGGGGTGATGAAAAGGTTTTGGAAATAGTGGTGATGCTTGCACGATAAGGTGAACGTAATTATCACTGAATCGTACACTTTAAAGTAGTTAAAATGGCTAATTTTTTGTTACGTTTTACCACAATGAAATTTAAATACACACACAAAACCTCTCTGAGCACTTAGTCTGTATAACATACTCTGGAGGACAGAAAATCCAGAAAAGATGCTGTTCCTGTTCTGAGAAATCAGGCATGTTATAAATATAACCATAACAAAGAGGATTTAATGCAATGAGTTCAACAAGGAGAGTACTCCCCGCCAACAAGGAATCAAACTAAGTATTGTGGAAAAGATAACATCTGACTGGACCTTAAAGAACTGGAAGAATTTCACACAGGAGTGCCAGGCATGGAGAAAGGAATAAGAGGGAGACAGGAGTTACTGCAGAAGAAGAGGTAAGAAAGGATAGTCAGTTGGCCTAGGCACTGAACAAGGTGGTTAAGACCAGAGAGTGAAGTTGAGGTCAGTTACATGGATGCCCTGAAAGCCTCCACATTCCCAATTTTGAACACTTTCATCTTTTTTAGTTTGAGGTATCTCACATTTTATGTTCTTCCATAAGGTCTTCCCAACTGAAAACAGTAGTACTGCCTAGGTAGAAGTCTTTCAAAGTAGGTTTTCTAAATATGACCATAATGAAAATATATACAACAAAGCCTATATAATTTAGAGTTATGTTTTTAAAAGGACAAATTTTAATCTTACTCAGACTTTCACTTTCTCTAAGGACCCAAGTGATCAATCACATTCAAATATCTAATTACCTTTCCCTATAAGACTAAAACAACCCTGATTCTTTAAGCTCTTACTGTACCAATTCATCTTTTAAGACTTTTCTATATTTGTCGATGTAATTTCACTTCCAAAAATCCCACTTTGACTCTGTTATCATTCAGCAACAACAAAATCAGTTTAAGTTAACCAGGTCATAGCATGCGAAAGCTAAAAAATGAATAAAGACCAAAGAAGAATTGATGCCTTTATAATTATGGTGTTGGTAAAGAATACTGAATATAGCATGGGCTGCCAGAGGAACGAACAAATCTGTCTTGGAAGAACAGCCACATTGCTCCTTAGAAGCAAGGATGGCGAAACTTCGTCTCACATGCCTTGGACATGTTTTTGTGGGATCGGGGTAGTCCCTGGAGAAGGATATCACACTTGCTAAAGTAAGGTCACTGAAAAAGAAGATCCTCAACAAGATGGACTGACACAGTGGCTGCAACAATGGGCTCCAACATAGCAACGAGTGTGAGGATGGTGCAGGACCAGGCGTTTCATTTTGTTATACACAGGGTTGTTGAGTCAGAACTGACTCGACGGCACCTAACAACAGGTCATACTTCCCCTCCCTGAAGCAAGCATATACAGGAGGAATCAGAGGCTCTGAAAGTCAGCATTTGCACCTTTTGTCCTTTTATTTTATTGAATTAGTGTTATAATTACGTGGCTGAAATCTGCGCAACTTTTTTTTATACTGTTTATTACCAACTGCTATTCATTCCCCTTACAGGATGATAGGGCAGCTGCCACTGCAAAGTAGGGCATTAGTAAGAACTTGTGTTTACCTGGCTAGCAATTTAAAAGACTTAGTGAAACTACTTATGAACTCATTTGGTGACCTCTGTTTTAGAGGCAGAGCTAAAATCTCTGGCTTCTCTTTTAAAAAACCAAACCAAGCCCACTGCCACTGAGTCAATTCCAACTCACAGTGACCCTACAGGACAGGACAGAACTGCCCCATAGGGTTTCCAAGGCTGTAATCTTTACAGAAGCAGACTGCCCCATCTTTCTCCTGCAGGGCAGCTAGTGGGTTTGAACTGCCCACCTTTCTGTTAGCAGCCAAGCACTTAACTACTGCACCATCAGGGCTCCTTGCTTCTCTCTTACTTGTATGTATTATCAATGTACATAATTTTTTAAAAATTATTTTACTTTCATCAAAAATAATACATATGATACCAAACCCACTACTGTCAAGTCGATTCCGACTCATGCAATCCTACAGGACAGAGAAGAACCGCCCCACGGGGTTTCCAAGGAGCGGCTGGTGGATTCGAACTGCCGATCTTTGGGTTAGCAGCTGAGCTCTTAACCACTGTGCCACCAGGGCTCCCGGCGCCCCAAATCATCAAATAACTTATTGACTTCATTTCCCCCTCTTGGATCCTCCAACTTCTGCTCCAATCTAGAATGGCTGCTCCAATCTAGACGGGCTGCTACTTAAGTCTCCTGCAAATCTGAAGTCCTTGGACTTCCCATCCCTTCTCTCCTGTTGGATCCTGTTTCCTGGGCCTCATCCTCTATTAGCTTCCTAAGAAAGAGAAGGATGATAAATTTTCCAAGTCTTTGCACATGTGAAAATGTCTGGTCTGCAGACAGAATTTTACAACAGACGCTGTCATGGATTGAATTGTGTCCCCCAAAAATACGTCAACTTGGCTAGGTCATGATTCCCAATATCGTATGACTGTCTACCATTTTGTCATCTGATGTGACTTCCCTATGTGTTGTATATCCTATCACTATGATGTAATAAGATGGATAAGCAGAAGTTATATTGATGATATCTACAAGATTAGTGTCTTAAGCCAATCTTTTTTGAGATATAAAAGAAGTGAGCAGAGAGACATGGGGACCTCATACCAAGAAAGCAGTGCCGAGAGCAGACCGTGTTCATTGAACCTGAGGTTCCTGCGCTGAGATGCTCCCAGACCAAGGGAAGACTGATGACAAGGACCTTCCTCCAGAGCCGACAGAGAGAGAAAGACTTCTGGAGCTGGCATCCTGAATCAGACTTGTAGCCTACTGGACTGTGACAGAATAAACTTCTCTTTGTTAAAGCCATCCACTTGTGGTATTCCTGTTACAGCAGCACTAGATGACTAAGACACACATCTTCCTTACAATTTTGAGGACACTGCTTCATTTTCTTCTAGAATTCAGAATTGCTGTTGAGAAATTCAATACTCTGATTCCCAGTTTTTTATATGTGTTCTGTCTTTTCTCTCTGGAAGCTTTTAGAATCTTCTTTTTATCCCAGATACTCTAAAATTTCATGTGTGGGTCTTTGTCCCTTGTCCTGGTTACTCAGTTACTGGTCCGTTTCAATCTTCAGTTCTGGGAATTGTTCAAGTAGTATTTCTTTGGTAATTTTCTCTCTGCTATTTTTTTCCTTATGCTATATTTCTAGAATTTATTATTCTATTAGAATTGATATTTAATTTGAAACTTAATTCAGGGCCAGTTAATGTTTTTTACCTAAGCACTTTTCATGCCTTAACTCATCTAATCCTGTTAACAACTCTATAATGTAGGTCCTATTACACCCACTCCACACTTACCAACATGGTTAGGTTCCAAAGACCAGGTCATTATATGAAAATCAGCATTATGGAAAAATGAAGGATGATCACATAGGGTCACAAAAGGAAGAATGACTACATCATTACATAACTGCCAAATTACATCATTACCTAACTGCCAAACCACTGCAAATCATGGTGCAGCCAAGCTGACACATAACCTTAACCATCACAGCCAGCGTTACTCTCACCTCGCGCCTCAGTGTTCATTACTACCGGATGTATGTCATTAATATTCAAAATAGTTGGACAGTAGTTTTTTTTACTATTGTCATAATTGCAATGTCGTATAATGAGATAGTTGGTAAGTGAGGAGTAGGTGTATTCTCATTCTATATACAAGTAGCTTGTCTGAGGTCACACGGGTAGTAATTGGTAAAACCAGGACTCAGATCCAGAAAGTCTGGCTCCAGTATCCACAGAGTTAACCACTAGACAATACTGTCTATTAAACATCAAACCACCTGGGTTGGCCCTCTAATTTTCTTACCTTCCTTATCACTTCCCGTCTTTCATCTTTTTTTATCTGTTTATACTTTCTGACTCCACCATATACTAGTTGTGTGATCTTGGGTGAGTTTACTTCACTTCTAAACCTTAGTTTCCTTATCTGTAAAATGAAAGTACCCTCATAGGATTGTGAAGTGTGACTATTGTTTTCTAACCCTATGAGGAAGTAACTTAATAGGGCTAGAAAAGTGCCTAGTCCGTAAGTGCTCAATAAATGTTAGGTGCTATTACTGTTACTACTACTTCTGTCCCTTCCCCCAGGATATTTGGGCTCAGGACCAAAAATAACTTCTTTCAAGTAGCTCAATTGTTAGAAGTAAAATTTGGAAGCTCTGGAGAAAAAAATGGAAAAAAATCATTCTTAAGGAAACAAAAAGAGAAGGGGGAGGAAGCAGAGACAGCAGACATAATAAGCAAGAGAGGATTCTGATGGTATTCCTTCAAGTCCTTGACCCAGCTATATCCATGCCCTTCTCCCCTCAGTCTGAGTACAAAGCTTTCCTTCGACTCCTTAAAGCACCCAATGTCCTTCTGATAAATCCTTTTTTGCTTAAACTAGTTCAAA